ACTTTATATCTACTATAGAAGCACTCTATCTACGAGAGCACAGCCTACTCTATCTTGGTAGAGCTCTTTTCTATGATCTGGACTGTCTCAGAGATGCGTCAGTAGAAAATGTAATCGGTTTTATTAGAAATACCGGCTGGTTTTCAAGGGGACCGCAAGAACCAAGTACTAACGAAATTAGGGAGGGAAAACATTCTCTCAACATAAGGGAATGGCAATTCTAAGGGTATCACAATGGGCCACAAGGCCTCCGAGTAAACTCGCTAACTAGCGAGCAACCCACGTAAACTAACCTAACCTAGATCGAAATTTCTTGGGAATGAGATTATAAAATCAAAGGAACTACCCATCCAGGAAATTGAGTTTCTAAACATCGTAGAGTACTATTTAGGTATGTAACATTATTTATGTAAAGGAGCGAACATCGGGCACGTTAGCACTTCTTCGGTTAACATCCTCCTTTCACCCTAGGTTGTTAGCATCCACTCCTGTTTTATATATGTATTTTCCAGTACTCGCCCAAATCCTTTTTCATAAAAAAGCCTTGAATTTGATGTTGAGTCAGAGGAGTCACCCAAATGTAATTTCGTAAATTGATATAAAACTGACCCGATCATTATTGGAATGAACAACAAAGGACAGAATAAGCAGGAACAAGAAGGAGTGAAACTATAAGAAAGAACCGATTGTAGAAATTAGGAGTCCTACGTTAAACACCATACCCCGTTGTAGACCAGAAATTTCAGAATACAGTAGTTTTCCGATTTAACGAACCCATATGTTGTCAGGCCTGTTCGTAAAATTGAAAAGTTCGTTATATGCAGTACTAACTAAAACGTGGGTTTTTGGTAGGAAAATAATTAAAAATAGGTACATAAAATATTTTTTAAATGTATTTTTTAAAAATTAATTCTTTTTTTTATAAAAATAAACACAAAATTCCGAATCTTATATACCCACCTTCAAACCATATTTGTGTCGAATTTCATCGCTGTATTTTTAATTCAGTCATGAGCGTTAAAGTTATTTCTCGAAGTTCATCGCTATACTCGTATTTTTAAGCGAGTAATGAGCGTTGAAGTAATTTTCTTAAGGGGGCCTGATATGGAGGGTAAGGTCAATTATGGACCGATTCCCATAAAATTTGTTAGAGATTTCGGTTAGTATAGAACATGTTTGAATCGAATTTCATCGGCGTACTCGTATTGTTAAGCGAGTAATGAGCGTTAAAGTCATTATCTGAAGTACGGACGGACATAGCTACATCGAACTAAAATTTAATAAGAACCCAGAATGTGTTACAGTTTTGGGTATAAAAGCACCGCTACAACTTAGGTTATTTGTTATTTTTGATAAATGTCATTTTATCTTCATTTAAATAATAATATTTTCATTAGTTCGTTAAACAGAGTACAAAAAACAAGTTTTGTTCGTTATTTAAGGTAGTCAATAGGAAAAATTAGCTTGTTCGTTAAATGCGATGTTCGTAGAATTGAATGGTCGTTAAATCGGAAAACTACTGTAATAAGCTCCAGTATTCTTTCACAATACATTACTAGAGCTGGACAACTACATAGAAGATGTGATATAGTCTTTTGTTCCTCTTATTCTTCTAATATGATTGCCAAATCTACACTGACAGGTAAATGACTGGGACTTTTGGAGACCTATAAGATATATAAGATTATCCAGAATATATCCATTCTAGGATCAATTGATAACGCAAGAATACTTTTGAGACCAGCGATCGAGAGATTCCATAAAACATATTTTCGAAAATATGATGATTCTTAACGGCTAAGAGGTGAATACCACGAAATTGGTCTAGGTTTAAAATATCGAAGTGCTATTTTTTTGGGACGATTGTTGGACCAAAATACATGAATGTTATTTGGGAGATGGCATTATTTAGTCATCAATAAATACAAACATTGGCAAATAACGTTTTATAATATTTCACCCTGTATTTACTACATTCTAAATATAGTATGTATCACATTTCAATTAAATTGTTGTTGTTGTTGTTGCCGTCAAAGTTAAATGTGAACTCAATAAATGAATGAACTCGATATTTTTTCTGTAAAATTTTCTATGTCATTTTCAGATTTGTCTCTACATATCCCTCAAACATTCATCCTCCTATATCTAAGTATATCCTTCCAACTATTTGCCTGCATTCTATTATTTCTGTTTTCTTTTTTTTTGGAGACATTTTTATACGACTCGTAAATGTGTGTTAAAGATTGACGCCAACATTAAAAGCAGTGATGGAATATAGAGATTTTAAAGGAAAACTAAAACCATTTAGACTTTATGTGCCATTAAAGACTTTTCCAACTCTGGGTTTTGAAAGAAAAGAAGAAAACAAAAACAGGAAATGAAACATTCAACCAATCATTTATTAAAGCTTTCATCCGACCACAACTCAGTTAGGAAAGTTTATAAGTAGAGTGGCAGAGGAAAGTGGGAAGTGAATGAAGTGGTCTACTTATTTAGACATGAAATATGATGGCAGAAACGGATGTTCATTTTGACACTGTTTGGAGAGGTCTAAATAATAAATAAAAAGGACACTCTCTTAAATGTTTGAAAATAGTAATTATATATTTGACAATTTATAGCATAAAGAAAACTGTGTATTGGACGTATGTATGTGTAAGTAAGGAGTATTTTCTGGATTTGTGGGTTAAAGCAGTGGGAAATTGTAAGAGAATAAATGATTTACATGTTTATTTATTGGTCTTTATACATGTCTGTTCGGGTGTTACTGAGAGGGTGAGGCTTAATTAAAAGTGAATAATGTTGTGGTTGACTAAATTACTCAAAAACAAAAAACAAAATCGATTTATGTAAAGAACACATTTCATTAAAATAAGCACCTTTTACTTCTTGTTGACCTTTTAACCAAGTAATTGCCCGTAGATACTAATTACACAGTAATTTACATATTTTCGATTAATATCTTGATGGAAGATTGTCTACAAATACATATACTTTATTATACGTTTTAACGATTTTTACAACATTTTCAAATTGTTCGTTTAATAGAAACTTTTGAGGAAGACCACTTGCTGTCAAGACGATAAAAAAAAATCCCAAAATTGTGAGTTTTTGGATTTGGATGTTAGTCTTTTTAAAACGAAGGCGCCAATCCTCATAATGACTCCACATTTATACTGATCTATAGTCAAGACTATAGACTGATCTATAATCAAGACTATAGACTGATCGATAGTCAAGACAATAGAATGATCCATAGTCAAGATTATAGAAAGATCTGTAGTCAAGACTGATCTATAGTCAAGACTATAGACTGTACTATAGTCAAGACTATAGACTGATCTGTAATCAAGACTATAGACTGATTTATAGTCAAGACTATAGAATGATCTATAGTCAAGACTATAGACTGATCTATAGTCAAGACTATAGACTGATCTGTAATGAAGACTATAGACTGATCTGTAGTCAAGACTATAGATCGATCTATAGACAAGACTATAGATAGATCTATAGTCAAGACTACAGACTGATCTATAGTCAAGACTACAGACTGATTTATAGTCAAGACTATAGAATGATCTATAGTCAAGACTATAGACTGATCTGTAGTCAAGACTATAGATCGATCTATAGACAAGACTATAGATAGATCTATAGTCAAGACTATAGAATGATCTATAGTCAAGACTATAGACTGATCTATAGTCAAGACTATATACTGATCTATAGTCAAGACTATAGACTGATCTATAGTCAAGATTATAGACTGATCTATAGTCAAGACTATAGACTGATCTATAGTCAAGACTTTAGACTGATCTATAGTCTAGACTATAGACTGATCTATAGTCAAGACTATAGACTGATCTATATTCAAGACTATAGACTGATCTATAGTCAAGACTATAGACTGATCTATATTCAAGACTATAGACTAATCTATAGTCAAGACTATAGACTGATCTATAGTCAAGACTATAGACTGATCTATAGTCAAGACTATAGACTGATCTATAGTCAAGACTATAGACTGATCTATAGTCAAGATTATAGACTGATCTATAGTCAAGACTATAGACTGATCTATAGTCAAGACTATAGACTGATCTATAGTCAAGACTATAGACTGATCTATAGTCAAGACTATAGACTGATCTATAGTCACGACTATAGACTGATCTATAGTCAGGACTATAGACTGATCTATAGTCAAAACTATAGACTGATCTATAGTCAAAACTATAGACTGATCTATAGTCAAGACAACAAACTGATTAATAGTCAAGACTATAGACTGATCTCTAGTCAAGACTATAGACTGATCTCTAGTCAAAGCTATAGACCGATCTCTAGTCAAGACTATAGACTGATATCTAGGCAAGACTACAGACTGATCTCGAGTCCAAACTATAGTCTATAATCTATATTCAAGGCTATAGACTTATCCATAGTCAAGACTATAGCCTGATACATATGACTGATCTATAGTCAAGACTACAGACTGATCTATAGTCAAGACTACAGACTGATCTATAGTCAAGACTATAGACTGATCTACATTTAAGAATATAGACCATTCGAATTTTCGAAAACTTTTTACAAAATTTAAGAATCTAGGGACTTATAACCTTTTAATTTATGCATTAAATTTACGAAAATCTGAATTCTTTGTTATGTGAACAATTTATTTTACTTTGACCAAATATTTTACTTTGACCATGGCTATCAATTTAATGCAACCTTCAACTACTTTAAGTGTTTTTTTTTTTTTTTTGGCAAACAATATGTTACTCATACTAGCGATATTCATGCACCAAAAACTTTCCTATTTGAACGAATATTTTCAATAAATTGTTTATTTTATATATTTTTTATTTTCTATCTATTTCCAGGATTATCTACACTTTCATACAGCACAAACTCTTTTATGAAATGTTAAGAAACTGTGAAAAGGAAATCTTCAAAACTATAGAAAAATCATATCAAAACTTGTTTAAGATAAAACAATAAAAAAAATAAATTTTAAATCAAATAAAAAATAAATTAAAAATTATGTCAAATTCATCAGTACAAAATATTTCTATTTCTTCTTCTACTATCGCTACTACAACTATTGCTACAACTGATAAAATCGTTACCTTGCAACAGCCACAACAACAGCAACTGTCAACCATATCAATAATGTTGGATTATGATATTGACAACACTCTCAATACGATCAAAGAAAACGGTGCTCATTTATTGCAACAAAACGAAACTACTTTAACTGAATCTCCTGCTACTCCTACGCCACCTGCTGCAACAAATTCAAATTGTGATACTGCCACCATGTCGTCTGAGGCTACAAGGGAAATTGTACTCAATGGCACGGCGGCAGCACTGAACGATGTTAATGTCAAGAAGTCTGTTATAAGAAATTCAAATACTAGTCTACAAATGAAACCTCTAACGGTGAAATGTGATGATATTAAAGCCATATTACCTCTAACACCTCCAGCCACACCTGTCATACAAAACACTGCCCGCAAACGTTGGAAGATTTTAGCCAAAGTCTTGCGCAAAGACTCCGAAGAAACTGTTTCGTCATCGGGTGAAGAGTGCATTAATGAACAGACCGCCTCGGTTAGGCGTTTCAAGTCATTCGATCTACTGAGACAAGATAGTTTTGAAGATCATGGTACTCTGAATTATTTGGGTAAACCCGAGAATTGGTACAAATACAAAGTGATATTGGATGGTCAGACCCAACAGGAGTTTACGGTGAATATACACCATATGGAAAGACATTTGACCGCTACCGATTTAATGGGTTTCAATAATACCGGTAATATATGTGTCTGGCCCTCAGAAGAGGCTCTTACCGCTTTTGTATTGTCCGACTTAGCGGCCTATAATAATAAATGGATTTTAGAATTGGGTGGTGGTTTCACCTGTCTGTCGGGTTTGATGTTATCAAAATATGCCAAACCCTTTGCCGTACACTTGACCGATGGCAATGAGGTATCGGTGGAAAATGTCAAAAAGACTGTATGTCTTAATGAAATCTCCTGCTATACGAAATGTTCCGTCTTAAAATGGGAAGATAAGGCTGCTCGAGTACCCTCAGAGGCGGGTAAATTTGATATAATACTTTCGGCCGATTGTCTGTTTTTCGATGAAGCCCGTTCTGCTTTAGTCGATACTGTCTGGTATTATTTATCTCCTCAGGGAGAAGCTTTAATTATGGCTCCACGACGTGGTAAAACCATGTCTTTATTTATCGAAGAATCAATGGCTCGAGGCTTTATGGTGAAATTAACACAACGTTATAATGAAACCATTTGGAAGCGACATTTAGAATTGATGAACTCATCATTGTACGATGAGGATTTACATTATCCTGTATTATTAAGTTTACGTAAATCTCATAAGCAACACCCACAACACGCACAAGAAATTCAAACAACAACCTCCGGCTTATTACCCATGGATGTATGCAAAGAAGAATCCTAGGTGTTGATGGCATTAGTAATATTGTGATGCTACTCCTGCTGCGGTTGATTACATCAAGTATTTTTTTTGTTTATTTTTTTTTTTTTTCAAATTAAAATTTTCAAAACAACAACAATTTTTACTTCAATAATTCCACTTTTAATTCCACATTAAGATGATGTCGTCATATGATCCTATATACGTATCCCTTAAATATTACATACACATACATACCCTAAATATTTAAATTTACTTTATTATTATACTTATAAAAAAAAAAAACATAAAACAAAATTTTAATATTTAATTTAATTTACATACATATACGGTTGAAGGACAGATACCAACACTAACACTTAAGTAGAACAAATTTACATTATAAAATTAAATTATAAATTTAATGGGCTTATGAATTTTTCAACACAAACACATCCATCCTTCATTCAAAATATGAAGAATGATAAATGTGAGAAGTTTTGTTTTTTGTTAGTTAAACATTAATTAAGTGTGAAATATCTCATGAGAGTTATTAAAATGATTTAAGTTTAACACTTATTAACATTTCTTGAATGTCATTTTTAAGAATTTTTTTTAAATAAATTTAGGAATTAACGGTTTTAGGCGAATTTGTACGCTATCTCGGTTTCCAGAACAATAATAGTCTACCCATTTTAGACTTAACAAATATTTTGCTCCGAAAATGTTGTGTGGAGTTTCCCTTTCATCTATTCCTTTTGAGTTCATTTCGATAACTTCCATATTTCATTACAGTCCCATCATTGTTTTAATAAGATCTTCCAAATTGTCAAATTAATGCATAATCTGACTCCTTGGCGAAGATTTTCAAACCCTTTCTCACATTTTAAGGTCTATTTCGTATGGAGGATATGTAAAGCATAAACATTTTCGGAGTCTATTAAGTAATGAGGATCCGCCCTTTTAAATCTTGTAAACAAATCACAGATCACAATCTTCGATATAATTTAATGAACTTTGATACATATGCATCTTTTGACGAAGCTTGTTGAAAATGGTTGAAATCGGTTCATTTTTCATCTAACCGTACCCCTTGAATAGGGCCTTGGAATTCATAATTATGTTAAATGTCTAAATGCCACTGTCGATGATCCCTAAAATCGGTGGAAACTAATCAGAATCTGGGGCTCATAAAATACTCATTTAGAGGAGTCGATTAAGTCATGTGGGTCCGTCCATTTGAATCTTGTAAACAAATAACAGGACGCATCATGATATTTTGATGAATTTTGATACAAACGTTTCTTTTGACGAAGCTTATTGTAAATGGTTCAAATTGTTCATTATTTTATCTAACCGTACCTATTGAAGGGGCTTTGGAGTTCATAATTATGTTAAATGTCTAAATAACACTGTCGATGATCGCAATGATCGTATCTCCTTTAACCTTAGCCTCCCTAAAATCGGTCGAAACTAATCAGAATCGGGGACTCATGAAATACTCTTTTAGAAGATAGGATTCTATTCTCCTAACAAAAGTAACAGTGATCAAAAAATGAGCGCATGAATGATTATTTTAATCGTGAAGAAGACTCATAAATGACCCAATTTTGACTCATAATTGACTGTTATGAAAATAGTAAAAACTTTTAACATAAACGAAAGATTCTTCTTCATCATAGAAACTACTTCTGCAATAACTCATAAATGACTCGATTTTGAGTCATAATTGTTATGAAAAACTTAAAAACTTTTAACATAAAAGTACTTTTTTGAGAAAGATTCCTCTTCTTCTTCATCATATAAACTACTTCTGCAATAACTGTCACTGCTCATACGATCTTGATGTACGTCATAAACGTACTTTTTGGCAAATATTCTTCTTTTTCATCACATAATCAACATACTTCTGCAATAACTCATTTTTGACTCGATTTTGACTCATAATTGATTGTTATGAAAAAAAGTAAAAACTTTTAACATAAAAGTACTTTTTGAGAAAGATTCTTCCACATCATATAAACTACTTCTGCCGTAACTATCACCTGAAAAGCTCATACGATCTTGATGTACGTCATAAACGTACTTTTTCATTATAAATCACTCGATTTTGACTTATAATTGATTATTATGAAAAAATTAAAAACTTTTTACATAAAAGTACTTTTTGAGAAAGATTCTTTTTCTTCATTATATAAACTACGTGAAAAGCTCATACGATCTTGATGTACGTTATAAACGCACCTTTTGGGAAAGATACTTCTTTTTCATCACAAATCACTCGATTTTGACGCATAATTGATTGTTATGAAAAAAGTAAAAACTTTTAACATAAAAGTACTTTTTGAGAATGATTCTTCTTCATCATCATATAAACTACTTATTCCTCCAATCATTCATTGCGTGTCCTGTAAGTTTGCCTATAAAAAGCATTAACGGATTCCTATTAAGAGTTAACAGTGCTAAGTATATTCTGCCAGAGGACCATAGCGATCTTATCGAGTTCTATTTCTTATGTTGCCCATACTGCAATGATGTTCGATACCAGTGAACTGTTTTATGCAACATTTTCGTAAAAATACGAGGTTGTTGCCAACATCATGAGAAGAGTATTGAACCTTATAACATTAGAGTTGAGGGCCTGGTCGACGTAACGAAAATTAATTCTCAAATTCTTCTTGCCCCAGATTTCATATTGAAATACGTAGCAAGCTTTTGGAAATCTGATGAAGACTAAGTTTAGAGTATCTTCTGTTTTAGGCTGAGGTTGCATTAACCCAAAGTCATCTTTTGATTCGAAATGTCCTGCAAAGTTTCGTATATATTGTACATAATATATCTACTGCTTCAAAATCTGCCTGTTTTAACTTTTGGAGAATGGTATCATGATCAATGCGTTGATATCATGAAATGCTCAAGGTTCTGAATCTAAGAGCCGATAGCGTCGCACAGTGGTATAGGAAAAAAAAAAAGAGGGAAATAATTCGGTAACTTCTAAACGGTTAATCCGATTTTAATGAAATTTGGTGTGCACAAAGAGGAGGTGTTGTCGAGTTTAGGTTTTGAATTTGGACCTTATAGGCCAACCAGGGGCCCGGCGGGGGGTCCTCAAATTAGGACACCTCGGCTATGTTAAATTTTTAAAACGATCCTATTTCTTCATTTGAGTTCCGATTTAAAAAAAATTTCGTATATAGAATCTCCTCATCGAGCACTATAAAAAATGTCGTAGCAGTAAATTATCTCTTATAGTTTAGGAGATATTCGCATTTGAATATTAAAATTTTAAAATTTTTACCGTCCTTACTTTAGTTTTTTTGATAATAGCAGGTCCAAATATTTCCGATTTTCGCCATTTTTTTTTTATTTGCTTAACAACAAGTTTATATACCAAGCAGTGAAAGAATTATGTAAAAATCATGACTGAGTCCAAAGTTATAGGCATTTAAATTTAAAAAATTAAAAAAAGGCGATTTTTTGTCATTTTTTTGGGAAAAAAGTATCTTTTTCTTTTTAAGTTATCTAAAAAGTTTCTAAGAAGATGTATATAGAATTTATACTTTTTGGAAAGCTGACTTTACATAAAATACGATAAATGAAACAAAACCTAAAAATTTTTGATACCGAGGGGACCAGGTCCATCCAAAAAAACCCTATTTTTTATGGAAAATTAAATTTTGAGCAAAAATTCTCAAATCGCATAGTCGATATCAAATTATAGTGACCTGTTTTATATGACCCAATAAGTTCTTAATCATTTTGTAACGGGTTTCGATAACCCCGCCCCTGGTATGGATATAATAGGCAAAAAACCAAAAAATCCCATTTTTGGGATTTTTTAAAACTTTTTTGGGAATTCCGGGATTTCTAATAAGAAAATTCGAAATTTTTATTTAATTTTGGATTTTGAGTAAAAAAATCTACCTAACTGTAAAATTTCATCAAAAAATATTCATAAATAAAATTTTTATTGCAATTTGAAAAATTTGTATCTTCGCAAAAACTGAATAAAAAACATTTTTTAATTTTTTTTAAAAAAAGTATTCCGCGAATTTTTTAATTTTCAAAAATTATATACAGTTTTGAAAAATAGACAAAATTACCTTTCCATTGATATATAACATGCCTACCTAATGTTTTTTAAGTGACAAATTAATTAGGGAAAACTCAACACCTTTTAGAAAATTTGCCTAGCACTATTATTTTCATCCATAAGGTTAACTCTTAAATTTGTTACATATATGAAGAAAATAGGATGAAGAAATAGGATCGTTTTAAAAATTTAACATAGCCGAGGTGTCCTAATTTGAGGACCCCCCGCCGGGCCCCTGGTTGGCCTATAAGGTCCAAATTCAAAACCTAAACTCGACAACACCTCCTCTTTGTGCATACCAAATTTCATTAAAATCGGATTAACCGTTTAGAAGTTACCGAATTATTTCCCTCTTTTTTTTTCCTATACCACTGTGCGTCGTCCAAAAGTTTTCTCTGGTTCTGATTCGGAAAGTTGTGTTAATGTTTGGTATGTGAATAGTGCCAAGACCAAGGCAATCGTATTTGGAAATGCTCAACTCTTTAGGTTTAAGAGCAGTTCTAGTAGTTCCTGCAGTATCATATACAAAACGGACTCAACATCAGAAAAATAGGCCAAAATACTTATTATATATAAATATGTAGCAACAATTTATTATAAATTATGATAAATGTTTTTTTTTCTTTTAATTCCATAGTATGGAATCCATACTATAACAAATTCCTCAATACATAACCTAGATTTTATATTATACCTCCCCCATAGAAAAATTTCCAATTAAACTTCAACTAAACAGTAATTAATAATAATTTATGCAAGTCAGTCCTTCAACCTCTATGTAATTAAACATTAAATATACATATTAATTATATATATAAAAAAAGAAACCAAAAAAAAACTTATTTCCAGCTTAGTTCCTTTTTGACTTAAGACACTAATTCAATATCCTTTTTATTAAATTTATTTATATTTATGAAAACAAATAATAAATACAAAAAAAAAAAACTTAAAACCTCCCAGTATAAGAAAAAAATCTTTTTTTTTATTAGATTTGTATATAAAATTTAAGGTAATAAAAGACTTAAATAACAAAATTTATATATATTCTATATAATATAACAAACAAACATACTTATACTACAATAATATTACATATTCTACATACATACTTATATAGTATAGAAATATATATTATTGATAATAGTTATTAACTAATTTAGTAACCTAATATAGAAAATAATAATAAAATTAAACTAAAAGAAAACAAATTGGA